CTTATCCTTACCTGATATAGAACTGAAATAAAAAAGAAATGGAATGACATTTTTGACTATTTCAGTGGTCACCCAATAGCTTCCACCCTTTCTCCAAGTGGAATATTACAACATACTTGCTACTTATCTCCAGCAGTTTGTCTTTAGCTACAGTCTTCCACTCTGCCTGGGAGAAACAAGTAAATAAAGCCCATATTTCAAGCTTGATTTACTCTGATACCTACTGTGAAAGATTATGACTCTTTAGGGAAATAAAGACAGGGTCAGGGAATTAGTGTACATAATGGTCATTTTGATAATGGGCCAACAGATGCAACTGGAAACATACTGTACACAATTAAGCATAATGCACTAATGACAGGTTAGAGTTTTTATCGCCTCTTTGCGATCGAGCAGCAAATCCAAGTTTAGCAGTAATAAAGAGTTTATTGGTGCTAAAGCCAAAAGATTTTCTGACAGAGGAAAGATTTTTCCTTTCATAACAAGAGTATTAAATCCTTTGTTTAGAGGCTCTAGAAAAGAGATATGCAAAGTGGTTGTCAGATATTTCTTAGGAAAAAGCCAATTAAAGGGTAATCGAGTAAAGGATAAGAATTACCATTTGACTTCAAATGTCTTCTCTTCTCTTCTCTCTCCTGCTTCCACCTCCTAACAGCATCGTGCCCCTGTGGACAGCTTCTCCTCCAAAGAACTTCAAAATCGCAGATAATGATCCAAATCCCATTTTTTTTTTTTACCCTTGAAAGTAGAGCAGACCTGTCATATCTTAACAATTCTGTATTTTGTAGTACAGCAAGATCTCATCTGTAGGCTTAATTGAACAACAAAACTGTGCACCTGAAATACAGATGAAAATGAAACAGAATTGTTGGAGTAAAACAAAATGCTGCCTGTGGGGCTGATACAGTTTTGTGTCCTTGATCTTGTTTGAGCTGGATGTTGGGAAGATCTTATTGGGTAATGGGGTAGAGGCAGCCTGTCACTGCAGGTTTTGGCTGAGTTCCTTACAATCTCACCTCTCATCAGTGCAGAGTTTGGTTTTAGGTGTTGACACCAGGACACTCACACTCCGTATCTGAAATAAAAAGAATTAAGCATTTACTTCCTTCTGAGGTTTATTTGCATGAATGAGGCTTCTGTTTGTGGTCTGGTGGAAATACCCTTTATTAATGGTGTTTCTGGGATGTAATGGGTGGTTTTGTGCCACAAATATTCCTTTAGCCAAACAGCATTTGAATTGGGCCAAACTGAAGCCACCACTTGTGCTTATAACACCAAGGATTTTCTTGCTTAGTGTTGAAATTCAAGTACAAAAGTCTTTCTGGTCTATTTGCTGCAACACCTCCTCTCACAGAGGTTAAGAAGAGGTGAACAGGATGAAAAGGCACTTGCAGGGCTTAAAAAATCTTCTATGGAAAAAAACCATCTTTCATACCGCAAAAAAAAGTCTCCTGTAGGTTGTTATGTGCAGAAGGTGGAGGCTTAAGAGCAGACACATTTGCAGATGAACTGCTTTTACTCGCTTCTCCGAGACATGACATTTGTTCAGAAGATTAGCCAGGTTGTAATGTGGAGCATAATTGCACTGTGCGGATGTCCCAGAAGTGAAAACCTAATTGCTTGACAGGCCTATAACTTTGTGGTACGCTCTCACCTTGTTAGGTCCTTTTCTGATGCGGTTCAAATGCAGGCTGGCCGCAGGTGTGCCTAATTTACCTCGCAACAGAACGTGTGGAGTTTAATTGCACAGTGGTTGTTAGGAAAAATTGGTGGGTGGAATATCAAGTGACTTACTGTATGCGGATGGCAGATGGGCGGCGAGAGGCACCGCCAGATAAGTGTATAGGTGAGGTGAGTTAATAAAAGATGTAAATTTTAGCTTAAAATAGTGGAGTCTTGCGGAAGGTAATACATTTTAATTAAGATGGTAGCAGGCCCCTTTCTAACAGTGGGAAAAAATCAGAGCAAGGGAACATCGCAAGGACTGCATTTTTCTCTGTATCAGTATTTTAGGAACAGCTTAGCACATTTGGGAAGGCTCTTCTGTAATAAAAAATTCTACGGTTTGTGCATATGATACAAAATATAGCAGGGAGATCCAAATCTAGGAAGGCTTGACTTTTCTCATTCTGTTGGAGCATCAAAGTTTGAGACATGACCAAGCAGAGCACTGATCCAGGTCCTTGCTTCTTGCTCTGCCAGAGACCTTGTCTCTGGAGCTCAGGGCTAGCAGAGAAAGTGGTAGGGATGGAAGGGATGGGTTTGTGGTGCCCACAGTCCTTGTTGGTCAGCGGAATGACCAAGCCAGTTGTCTCCACCTGGCAAGTAAATACCCTGTCTGGGAATGTGGTTTTTAACTTATGTTGTCTTCCTCTAAAAATCCTGTCTTGATGCCACCTGTGCTCCATGAACTCTCTGAAAGCACAGATTAAAGAATGAAATAAAATATCTCAGTATCAAGGAATGTAATGGAGCTGAAATACAAGTGCTGCTTGTGTTCACTCCAGCCTTGCGGCCTCAATATTTAGCCCAGTGCTCAGGGCCATCTAAATAAACTTGATGATGTCTAATTTCAGCAAGAGTGGGTCCTTTTCACCAAATAATTGAACAAATACTGGTTCCAGTTGATGTTTAGTGAAAGGGTGCTTAATGGCCCTTTTTCTTTGACAGGATGTGAGCTCTCTGTATAGAAACAATTCATCATGAATGCTTCACTCTAAAAACAATCCACGAGGAGCAATACTTAGCATTCCTAGTGCACAATTCATTGGAGAATTTCCGAGCAATTTACAAACATTAGCTCAATAAGCCTCACAACACCCATTTGAGATCAGCAAAAAAAAAAAAAAGATAAGATACTACTCCTCAGCCTCGATGTGGCACTAAGGAGCCGTAAAGCTGGAGGCTTGTCCCAACTCCTAAATCCCCAGTGCCAGGTGGTCCTGTGTGTGAGCATCAGCTGGTCCTTGCACATCATCACAATCTGTGCAGTGGAAGGTGTGCAAAACCAGATAAATGACAGGAATGTTACATTTAGAATCATAGAAACAGAATGGTTTGGATTGGAAGGGATCTTGAAGACTATCCTGCTCCAACCCCCTGCTACAGGGAGGGAACCTGGCCTATACTCAGTTGAACCTGGCCTATACTCTTCTGGAGAGAATAAGTATATTAAAAACCACCAAAACCCAACCAATGCAGATAAAATTAAGGGGAAGTTGTGTCTAACAAAGATGAAGTTTCATGGAGTTGCTGATAATGTCCCTGCAGCAGTGTCCAGAAAACCTGAGCATCCGAGCTTGGATATCACATCAACCACCACGGAAATCCCGATCTTTTACAGCTTGACAGCTAAAACCCCTGTACAAGTTTTGGGATAAGAATTTTTAAAGAAGCGTGCATTCAGCTGAACTGACAGCATTGATTTATTTATGCAGTTTCGGTAAAGCTGGTTGTTTCCCTACTTGCATCTCTGATACGAGAGATCGCTCCTTCAGCATTAGTGTCCTGTAGTAATATCAGGGTCCTGCTCAAGGTTTAATGAAACAGGAAGAGCTGGGATTAAAAGCAGTGGTTTGTGATCTGGGGATAATTCCATGATACTCCTGTACGACCTTTGAAGCTTCTCAGGAGTGAGCACGATGTGGTGAAGCCACAGTTGTACTTTCTATTGACCATGGTAGGTTCGTGTTGGGTGCTCAAGAAGGGACGAGGTGCCTGTCTTGCCTCTTGCCAGGAATGCTGTTGGCACATGGAAATTTCTATGAGGTGTGTACAGCAAGAATAGTCATGGTCAGTTATAATATGACTGATATGAACGAACAAATAATAATTGTTCATATTCTAAACGTGAAAGCTCTGACTAACCTCGCCGTTCAACACGTATGAAGCTGGGCAGCACAAGCTGCTGGGCTTGAGCATCTGAGGAAGTCTGGGTGAAGAGAACGTCCTGAGCTTTGCTTGTCATTAGCTGTCAGTACTTAGACAGAAAACAGACCCACAAAATATTTTTTAGAGATGAAACACAAAAACATAGCAACATAAAGAAAAGGTGTGGTGTTGGGCTGTGAATGTCCTCCTGTGTGATGGCAGGACAGTGAGGGTCCCCCATTTTGCTTCACCTACAGGGTGGAGACTTCCCAGTTCAGCTCCTTCCTCCAGTATGGGAGGGCAGCATAAAGGAGTTTCCATCTTTCCAAGCTTTCCCCTTTCCTCTAAGTGCTTGCTGTGTTCCCCTGAGGCAGCGTTGCTGCAAAAACGGTTTATGGGGAGATGCCTGGATGATAAGGGTTAGTCCTAAATAATTGCTGGTTGCCGCTCAGCAGAAATAAGCTGGATTTCGATCCCTGGGTAGAGTGACTCCTCACAGCTAAAGGCTGGCAAAGGTTGAAGAGGTCGTAAGACAGGGCCTAATTTGCCATGTTCCTTTCCTTTCAAAAACAATGAGGAAACTGGGGCCTTGCCGGTGGGCAGATCCTGCCTGGATCTCCCTGGAGTCAGCAGGAGTTGGATCGAGTCCCTTTGAATAGCAAGCCTTTCCAAACCGGAGGCAAAGCCAAGTGTTTTTCAGAAGGTTGATCATTCATTACCTTTGGAATTTTTCAACGTGGAGGTCATTACTGCTAATATAAGTTGTGAAAAAATAAGAAGTATTAAAAAAATAGAGACAAATTCTCATCTGGTGTAAGTCTTTGCCTTTGAAGTCAATGAGTCATCGAAATCAACTTTCCCACACCGAGTTAAGGATATGGCCTGGAGTCAATACATTTGTAGTTGTTGAAAAATTAAAAATATAAATTTGCCTTTCCTTGGCAATAATGTTCTGTTTATGACAGAGATTCTTATGCTTTAAAATAAGTTCATTAACGAATAGGAAAGTAATATTTCACTACCAGTATTCTTTTGGGTAAAACTATTTATGATTAAATTTTATTAAACTTTTTAAAAATTGGATTTACGTTTTGATGAATCTAATAGATTTCAATTTTGTATTTTTATAGATTCTTTCTAAAGTTTTTCCTCAAGTGCAATCAGAACTGTTTGAAGAATGCAGGCAACCCGCGAGACATGCGAAGATTCCAGGTACAGATCCCTCTAAAAGCATAAACAATATATAAAAGACTTAGTCACGTCTTCATCTTGAACTTTTCGTGATGGAAAATCAGTGTTGGGGCTTCTACTTAGTGTAGTTCCAATGCTTAAAAAAACCTACTGTCAGTATTTTACATTTCCCCCACTAATTTAAATGCTGGTTCTTGGGACATTCCAAGTTCTGCAGTGGAATGTAATGGATCAGTGCTGAAGCAAGCGGATCTCTCCTTAAAAAATATTTCCCTGATTTTCCTTCCTACTAACACCTTGTGTAGTAGTTTGGAGTATGCTCAGACCCATAGAGGTTTTACATAGACTGAGTAGTTTGATCTTACTGATGACACGACTGTGGAGTGCAGGGGAGTTTGGATCTCACACAGGGGTTTTTCAGGTTCACAACTTGTAAATCCACCAGTGGTGGCCTAACGCACGTATTTTTGTTTCAATTGTGTTAGAAAATGTTTAATACTTCACTTTCTCCTTACAGCTTTTGAGATATCCTGTGGTGAATCATAACACTACAGAAAGACAGCTGACGGGATGGACAAATGATTTCCTCCGTATGTGGGGTCATTCGAAAGGCTTGTTAGGAAATAAATGCCTTTTATTTGAAAATATTTCGCAATGAGTCATATTTGATTCTAATAATAAAGTAGTATTGAGATGTTCAAGATTTTCTTAGTTTGGAGAAGAATAACTTGTGGTTAAACTTGATAGAAAAACATGTGACATCTGTTTTCATGCACAGCCAACCAACCGGGGAAGCCAGCACCCTTGAGCCAGCCAACAGAAAAGATCTGTAGCTGGGAAAAAAAATATTCCTTCAAAACAATTGAGCCAAGCTTCCATTTTTCATGCATCTCAGCTTCACGTGGCATCGGTGATATTGATCCATCTGAACAGAACAGAAGGTCAAACCTGGAATGAGTGGAAATGTCCTCTTTGTCTCACCGATGACTAAATGAAGCATCAGTCAGGAGTGATCTTGTGGTTGACAATGGAGCCAGTAGGCACTAGAAAGACTTTCCTGGGTCTCTTTAGCTAATCTTCCTGCCTCTCAGAAGGTTTAACTGGACTTAACAGGATGTCAGATCTTGAACAGTATTTTTACCTGGTTTCACTGTCTCAGCACCTTTCTGGAGGTGCACTGCAGGAGTAAGGTGATATAACAAAGCGTAGCACGTCGACTTTCTTTTGCTGAACTACAGTATTTTCCCTTGGTGACTGACCTATATACATGACAGAACAAAAATAGTTGTCATTTTCATATACACCTTGCTCTGTCTTTTTAATACACCGTGTTCTAGGAACCAAACGCAGAAATCTTGGCTGAAAATCATGATTGTATGTTTTGCAATATTTCTTAAAGTCTGGGAATCTCATTAGGAGTGAAAGCTGATAGCCCAGTGGCCTGGCAGCAGCTCTGTGGCCAAGGCGAGCGTGCAGCCTCAGCACTCTCCGAAGTGGATGTTGACAAGAGTGAAAGTGTCCACTTGTGGGAGGAGAGAGCTGGGGAAGCAGAGCAGCCTGGCAGAGAACTGCCCTCGGGCTGTTCTAAAGGGTACCGCAGATGGCTGTCTCAAAGGACGTGGGATACACAGGAAAGGTGCTGTGATAGCTGAAAGCTCATTATGGCTTGTGAATAAGAAACAGGATCAGAGGTGATCCAAAACATAGAAGCAGACAAGAATTTTCTTCTGATGCCTTGGACCAGCTCTGTGCAAAAGGAGGCTCATTTCTCCCCTTCCATTTGTGTTTGTTAAGTGTTTGGGTTGAGGAGCTGGTGGGAGAACCCCTCAATCATCTTTGTTACATCCCAAAGTAAAATAAACGGAAGGTGAAAACCAAAATTTGTCCTACCTTTTGCTGCTGTCACTGGTTGGGTTGATAAGGTCTAACTTAGCCTTTGACTTTACGGACTCTACTAACCCCAAAGAAATCGCTGCAGTGCATGAAATCCTTCATGCAGAAAACCTGGAACCCACAGCACAGAGCCCACTCTGGAGTATTTAAATAAGGTGTAAATGTCTCTCTGGGATAACAGTGCTGGACTTACGGAGCCGTGTTCCACACAAACACAGGCGCAGCTCCCGGTTTCCTCCTTGGCTTGTGTTCACGCGATATCGCTTCCGGAAGGAGTTTCACAGCTCCATTGTGTAGGTGTTTTTATCGGGAAGGTTGTGCGTTTTGCATATGTTCCTTTGCCATTTTCTACTGAGAAGCAGCTGGAAGCCAAAGGAGGCCCTATCCATCATCTCTTCTATGGCCGGACTCTGAACCTGGACACAAGAATAGGAGCCTTTCACTCAAAAATAAAGGAGGAAATTCCATTGACATACCAGGGTCAATCACCATCCAAATGAACTTGAGAAGGGATACTTTTCATGGATTGAAAACACTTTCACTATTCATATTCAACTCGGTCTTTTCAGATGCAAAAAAGTTCATTATCAGACATTAAATGTAATTGTAAAACTGACCTGGAGATCATTTACTGAAGAAAAAATGGGGAGTTACGATGGTTCCTGATTTATTAAGCTTTTTTATTTGGAATCCTCACAACCCTTCATTTGAAGACAGTCTCAAGTGAACAAATTTTAATTAGATAAACTATCTAATCAATATATCAACAGATCAATCAAAACAGCAGCTTTTAAAATGAGTGGCTAGAGGGGTGTTTCTGAAACTAATGGCTAGAAGAATATTTTCCTGAATTGAATTCATTTGTTAGCATAATAGGAGATTAAACTCTAATTAGTGTAGCAGGTTCTGAAGAGAAACAATTGTGAGTTAAAAATCACCAGTGGTCGCCACGTAAACAAAGATGTATTCAGAGATGTCATTCACTCGGTTTAAATAGAAATAGAAAAGTAACAGGATGTTGTTGTGTCTTACGAGACCTGATTCAGTGCAAATCTGCAGGATTTTTTAAATGTGAGGTTTTGTTCTCTTTTCCAGGTTGTTGTATCAACAACAGTCAATGTGGATGGCCACGTGCTGGCTGTCTCAGACAACATGTTTGTACACAACAATTCCAAACACGGGAGGCGGGCTCGCCGCCTTGACCCCTCAGAAGGTACGGCCCCTTCTTATCTGGAAAATGGTAGGCACACATTTACATGTCTTTTTTTTTTATTTGCAATGCCTTTTTTTATTTTATTTTATTTTTTTAAATTTTTTGTTTGTTTGTTTTGCACCATACTTTATGTTGAGACACCGCTACATTTACTTTTACATCATTTCTTCTCTCATCCATCAAACCACCCATTAAAAAAAGTCCATTAGTATTTCTCAACCCTTGTCAACTAGAATATGGACGCTTCTGAATTTGCTTCTGACTCCTTTCTTTATTTAATACTTAGAGTTTTGCAGTCACAACCAATTTTTCATATTTTCCTCTTTTATTTCTTTTCTTTTCTTTTTTTTTTATTTCAGTCTTGTTTTGCTTGCAGCTTTTTCTTGCTCTTTAATTTGACTTGATTTTATTTTGGCTTGCCATATTCCTTGATCCAGAGGTACAGTCTCAGGTTATGTATGCAAGTTTAAGTGGATGGTAAAAACATGACCGAATCTGTAAAGAATTTACTGTGAGGTCAATTTCCTGTGGCTGGGCCTTACTGCAGATTACAGCAGGAGGGGGTTTGTATGAGAAAAACAGCATAAAATGTTTTTCTTCAGCCTGACTCAATGTGATTGACTTCTTGCCTGAACTGCTAAAAGAAGATAGTCTGAGATGAAGAGGAGAATGGAAAGTGTCTCTGGAAATCCAGAATTGTGAAATCCTATCTTTCTGGAGCCCATCAGCCTCCAAATCACTCGCACGCAATCGCGGCTGCGCCTGTGCACATGAACACATGTATTTATTTGCCTGCAAAGCCCAAAATAATCATTTAGATTTAAATATCAGTTCGTTTGCACTGTGAAATACACCAATGTAAGGTTTAAACTGGCTTAGGATAGCATAGGATAGGACAGGATATGACAGGATAGGATAGGTTAGGACAGGTTAGGATAGGATAGGATAGGGTAGGATAGGATAGGATAGGGTAAAACAGGACAGGATAGAATAGGATAGGGTGAAATAGGACAGGATAGGATAGGACAGGATAGAATAGGATAGGGTAAAATAGGACAGGATAGGATAGGACAGGATAGAATAGGATAGCGTAAAATAGGACAGGATAGGATAGGACAGGACAGGATAGAATCTTTTTGGAAGGATCATCCAATCCAACTGCCTGAACACTTTAGGGCTGCCCAGAATTTAAATGCACAGGGATCAAATACATCTCCAGTTCTGAAAGAGCTAGATTCTCAAACTCACTGTGACCTGATGTGGCCAGGCCACGTGCATCAGTTTGCATGGGACTGCTCTTTCAAGTTGTTACCAACATATTGACAGAATCATGGCTTTTTACACTAATAAAATTAATTAAAGTGATAACAATATTAAACTGCTAATACAAACATTGCCATTTTAGGTTTTAAATAGTATTTACCAATGGGCAGAGAGGGAAATGAACTAGGCAAGCACCAACTATCAGAAGGCAAAGCGATCTAGACATCAAAAAATGGAAAATGATTTACAAATCTGCCGCAGTCCACACACACAACCCTAATTTGTTTTTCTGCATTAATAACTAAGGTATAAGAGACCAAAAATATAATAATTAAAGGTCGCCCTGAGCACCAGAGTCATTATGGTCTATGACGTATTGTTTATCTCTTTCATATGCGCGGAAAGTAGGTGTGTGTTTTGCCTAGCAACCGTCACTAATGAGGTTCACAATTAAGAAGGCTGAATCCTCTCCCCTCGTCCTCTCCTTCCCCAGAGAGCAAGAACTAGCAACATTATAGGTTCAAGTAAGCATGCTCAGCCCTGTGGTGTTAGGTTTTAGTCTGGGTCCAA